TATGAGGCGAGCTGAGAAGCCGTCACTAACATGGCGCGATTCACGGTGAGGGAAGAACCGCGCCACAGGCTGGTTACGCCCTCGTTCTTTGCCATTTGAGAAATGGCGTCCACCACGCTCTTGTAGTTGCGCCGCTGGGCCAGAGGGAGACGGCCATCGGCTTGCATCCGAACCATAGCGACATCAGCCGGATTCCCCACGGCTGCTCCGATCCCACCGGCCACGAGTCCTGCCGTGATCTTCATCATCAAAGGCATGTTTTTTGTGTTGGGATCGGTCCATTTTTTCTTCAGGATGTCGTATAGTCCCATTCTGGTGGTGGAATACAGGGTCTGGCGTAGGATTGTGGCAGAAACGCCGGAAAAGAGAGCTTTGGCACCATCTTGCTGAATGATCCTAACCCCAACAGAAATGGGTCCAACGCGGGGTGGCGGAGGGAGGTGGACGTGGTGGTGGGCAGATGTCGGAAAAGCAAGAGCCGGACGAAGGGCTGGATTGGGTGCAGACGCTTCACCCTGGAGTTGCATCCGGACCTTAATCAAATCAAGTGGGTGAGTGCTACACCCTGCAATAATCGAAGCAATGCCTCCTTCTACAAATCCTTTCAAACCCATTATCAAAAATAATTCTCAAAACTGAATTTGTTTGGCTTAAAACAAAAGAAATACGAGCAAGGAATTTGATTCCTTTCCCTAAAGAATGAATAAGTTTCAAGAAGAAGACCAGTTGGAATTCGAGTTCATCTCACTGGAAACCAGGAGATGGGAATGAAGACCGAAAGCTATGGAAGAAAAGTGTGGAACGTTGGTCCTTTGAGACATATGCCGTAAGAGACTAATGAAATGGTTTGGTTTGAGAACAGCATGAACGGAGGGATCTTTATAGGGGAAAAGGAAAAGGCGTGGAAACTAGGTTTTTAAGCCACAACGACGACCATATACGGCGGAAAAGGCAAAAAATATTGTGGAAATCTCTCTTGACTAGTGCTTTTTGACGCGGTTCATTGTAGTTATTTCAAAATTGGCCCGGCCAAGTGGCCAACTCATGGCCCTATGGAAAAATTTATAGCCTTGACTTTGAAGTTACTGATTGCCAATTTGAATTTTAATCGTTAAAGTCCTATACAACTCATTCAAGTTTTGTGGCTACGGTAAATCAATGCCTCTCTCTCTCTAGGAATTTGACAAATGTATAGTGACTCCCACTAGTTTAGAATAATTATAGAGGCACCCCTGAAGTTTGTACCAGACAACAAATTCCACTCCTATTTTTATATATTTTATTTTTACTTTACAGAGTGTCCTCAACTAAGATTTTGATGGATTTTAAAATATTATAAATTCTAATGAATTTCATTGATTTGAATAAATTTCCACAAATTTCATAAGAATTTTATTAAATATGGTGAAGTTTCAAAACATTTAATTATATGTATTTTAAGCTTGAAATTCATCCAAATCTTTTAAAAACCATCCATTAATAAAATCTTTATAAATCTACCAGTTATCGAAGATACCTAAATTTTGAAGGATTTCATTAAAATTTCAATTGAAAATACCTAAATTTAAAAAGATTTTAAAAATTCATCACAATTTTAATTGAGGACACACTTCCCTAAGTCTCGATGTCAAAAAATAATAAAGCAGAATAAGAAATATTTAAATATTTTAGACGCTTTGTTATTATTTTTCAATATTGAAGTCAATGAAATAAATGTTTTATGTCAGAGCTTGTGAAATTATTGATTTTGTAGCAATTGAATGAAAATAAGATAAATTTTATGAAATTTCGTGATTTTTTGGGTCGTATTGTAACAAATCTTTCGATAATAGGTAAGAAACTCTTTTTCTTTATTAAATATGGTAAAAGGTAAAATATTATGTTTGTAGATATGTGATTAACATATATTTCAAGAGATATTTGTGTAACTGGAAAATTAAGGCTTGCGGTTGGTATGACTGAATATGTGTTAAATACTCGAATTTTTGACGTGATCAAAGAAAATTTGCTAGTTCAAAATTTCAAACATTTTTAGTGTTCATATTAAAGGAAATTCTTTTAATTTCTTTTGTCATTTTTTATTTCCTTGTTGGGTGTAAGAAAAATGGTAAATTGCTCACTTATGATCCAACTCATGTCCAAATATTGTATTAGCTTTTTTGCAACGATGATAAATTTGGCGATAATATAAATTTTCAGAAATATATTATGAACCTGTCTGGCAAAAATTAAAAGCAGCTTGGAATCGATTTTGTACCATTTTTTGTCAAAATTGTGGGGGCCACATCACACAACAAGGTCCACAATGGCGGTTCCAACGGTTGAAATTGTGATTTCAATCACAAACAGACAGGGCCTATGTTTTTGGAGAAATAAGGTTTTAGTTCCCTTTTCAAGTCAAATTTTTTAATTAATTTGTTATTTTTTCATTTAAACAGAAAAAAAAAAAAATTTTGGAAAACATTATCGAGCTGTAACAGTTTTTGCATTAATTGACTTTCAAGTTAAAACACAATTTTCTGATCAAAATTAAAGTTAAGAAAAAAGATCGTTTCAAAAATAATATAAAGACAATTAGTAAAATAATAAATCCATATTTATTTGCACAGAGAGGATGTCTTATCTTAGTAAAAAGACAAGGAGGCATCGGGTGGGTCGGTCCGGGTATCAAAATAACTGGAATCACCCATTATACTTCGAATATTTCGTAAAGGGAACCATTCGGATTCTTGTAAATACTAGAATCGAACACGAACCCGAACCGTTGATTCCGATTCAATTTTGATTCTACCCAAACATTTAATAAACATTTTCCTATGAGCCCTTTTGATACTTGTACCTAGTACACTACTACTTGAAAATAATTGTGTAAGGGAGAAAATTTAGCTAAAAAATTTTTAAGAAGCAAAATAGTGAATACTAAAAATCACGAAAATAGTAGAAAATTAAATTATAATTTTCTTAATAAATTTTATTCGATCCATAAACGAGGCATACTAGAGTATATAATTTAATTATGAACAATGATTAAATTCTTCTACTCTCAAAACGAATCGACATAGAAAATACTAATTAGATACATAACTACATAGTACGTCATTCATGGCATGATTCTACCTAAATTATGATGAAAGTGTCTCGTCTAAAAAGTAATCCACTCAATTATTGTAATAGAATTAGTGACTTCCACATTGGATGATTGAGATTCCACTAACGTTGGTTCTCGAGTTCTTTCAACAAATTACAAATTCACACTATAGCCCAAATTATTCTCTCTAGAAGACCAATGTAATTGCAGTCTTGAAAATAATTTAGAAGAAGAAAAATCATTTTCTTATGTTAATTTAGAAGCTAGGATATAGAAAAATACTATTCATCCCCAGTGAGGATGTATCCCCAGTCTATGTGGAAAGAAGATGAAGGATTTGGGCAGAGAAATTATTGAAAATATCCCAAATTGAACAATGAAAAATGATATTCGTCCCCTGTGGGGATGTATCCCCAGTCTATGTGGATGTAAATGATTGGTTAAATGATAGGTGAAATTAAATGACTTATTTAATTTCACTTATCATTTAATGCTACATTAACGCCACATAAACTGGGGATACATCTCCAGTGGGGATTAATAGTATTTCTCTAGGATATAAGTAAGACAAATGGTCGAAAAGCACAAATAAAATTGATCTTCTGTCCTCGCTCCCCAGTGAACACGATAAAAAATTCTTACTGCTGACGTGTTATGATAACGTTATGATTTTATTCAATATTATTATTAGGTCATCTTTGGCATCTCAACCTGTGGACACACTTGTTACAACTTGCATGTGCATTTATTCTTGTTTGAATAGTTAAGTAAAATTATTGCAACTAAGTGGCGTGGGATTGGATGCCAAAAAGGACCCATCCTATCGAATTCCATAATAGAGTTTGTGTTCCCAATTGCTCCAACGTTGAATGCGAAATATACATGGAATTAGGTCCAAATTTTGATTTTCCATCATTTAGAATTTTATTTTTCTTGGAAAATATTGCAGAGAACGAACCACGTACAAGCAATTTGAATATCTTTGAGAATAAAATTTAAATTAATATCTGAAACTTCATGTTCCATGAATATTTTATAAAAAATGGCATGATATAAGGTTTAAAACGATTCTTAAATGGGATTTTTTTTTTGGTACAAGATGAAACCAGATTTTCAAGGAATGCTTGAAAATTGAATTGAGTTAGATATTTGCAAGTTCTTTTCAAACATCTCTATTAGTTAACCTAATCTAGCAAAAAGCAATAAATAAGGGCCAGTTGAGTTCGCTGATATATATACAATTATAATTATGAGACCCATCTTGGTCATCGACCGAAGTGTCGGTGAGCAGGTCATTGGTTCAAACAACTGGTTACTAAGTGAATTGTCGAGTCATTGTCGGGTCGACATGAAAATATATATATTGTCTTTAAAAAGAACATAAATATTACCATAAGTTGAAAAGATAAATTGGGTGCTTTGAAGTTTTATTTAGTAATTGAAATTTAATAAATTCTCTAATTTACCCAATATCTTTTATATTAGGCATCATATCACACTGTAGTTCAATTTTCAAACTATATACCATATTCAATCTATATATATATATATATATATAACGTTTTAAAAAGTTTTATTTAAATTTTTAAAACACGTGATGTAACTTAGTCAATTGTTTTTTACATGATTTAAATATTTAAATTACCTTTCAAAAACAATAATCTCAATAAAGCCACATAACTACATATATAGTTTTGATCAACAATTTAACAACCAACAAAGGTAGCCCAGTGCTAAACATGATGTCTCGAGTTCAAAACTCGGGAACTGGGTCACCGGTTTTCGGTCGATTTGAACGGGTTGTGACCTTTGACCCTTTGGTTTACCGATCTTTTGAATCGGACTAGCTAATAGATTTTTAATTTCCACAATCTCTATCCAATCATTTAATTTAATTTTTTTTTTTTCGTTAAGGGATCAAATAAGTTAGACCCTCGTTCCGATAATTTTAAGTTAATCTATTGCAACGGTACCTGAATGTATTCCGAGTTATTATCAATTTACACAAATTTCTAACTATTTCTTAGGAGTTGCGTCTCGTTGACGTTAAAATTTTAATCAATGTTGTCTCAAAAATTGCAAAATACCCAATCGATCAATTAAATTTGAAATTCAAATATTTTTCGAGGTCAAAAAGTCGAAAGCGTCACTTGACGATTAACATGTGGGAAGAAACAAGTGTCAATATCTTAATGACGAAATCAATTAATCAAAGGTCAGATTATGAATTCCCAATATGAAAGGGTGAAATTAAAGTAAACGGAACCTTTCGAGGCATATATGGGGACGGATTATTTAAGCTTGACTTATGATTCCGAAATGTGTGGAAATGTAAAAACTCAAAAGTCATTTTTTTTTTGGTTTTTCTTTTATGGTTGCCATAGCTAACCCCCAACACGTGTCCAAGCTAGATACAAAACAAGACCAGACTGAGTTACCACATCGTAGGGCATGTTTAGTCGATTTTTCAAAATGTCAAAAACTACTTTTGATATTAAGAAAATATTTTTTAAATATGTTTGAATA